CTACACTGCTGGAGGCCTGACTTGGGTGGCCCCAGGTGGGACTTTGAGTAGTGGCCAGCTTTTTGATGGTGAGGACATTTAAGACATGAAGATCCAATGGGGCTGCTCACCAGGCCTCACAGGTGCAAGGCCCTCTGTGTGCACTTGGCACCTTTATACCCTGAGTCTCCCCAACCTGCTGCCCTGTTGGGTACCAACTTTCCAGATGCACACCTGTCCCCATAGATAGCCATGGGCTTCCTCAGATCACCAGCCTGTGAGCAGCAGCTCTGCTACCCCCAGAAGCCATGTCACAGGCCAGCCCTGGTATCCCTCTCAAAGAGGATCTGCTGCAGAGAAAGGATGAGGGGAGAGAGTGTGCTGGGCTTCTGTGTCCTCAAGCTTCTCTTGTGGTCCCCACAGATGGCCCGTAGCCTTGGGTGACAGCCACAGCAGGGTCTAAACAGTTCGATCTATTTGTTTGCTGGATGAATGCCAGGCCAAGATTCGAGACTTTCCATTTTTAAATCCCCTGGGTTCTTTGCAGTCTGTATAAAGACTATTTTCTAAGACTTAAAAAAAAAGATAATTGTCACATTGTACATGGAGACCTCCCTCTTAATGAAAGCTGTCCTTACTGTTCCAACTCTTGCCTCAGGATAGCCTCAGGAAAGAAGCCCCAGGTTACCAGAATTTATTTTAATTAAAAGCCTCTGACCTCCAGGGGCCATATTGCTTGTTCCTTCTACTCTGTGAATGAAGCCTCATTTTTCTCTTAACTGTAGGTGAACATCTCAGGACAGTCTGTCTAGAAAGGGTGTGACTTCCAGTCCCAAACAAAGCCATCTATAGACAGTAAACCACCCTGCCCACTGAGCTATACTCCCCTCCTCCACCACACACACACCACCCCCTGACTCACAGAAACCAAAACATTTTGCTGGGGTAAAAACTGGAAGCAATTCATGGCCTTGGAACACCTCTGCCACCAGGGCTCAGATTTTCAAGCTAGGTCATGTTCCTGTGTTTTAGAAAATGACCTCATCTTTTGCCAGGCCATCAGCATCAGGTTGCAGAGGATTCTAGAAGTGCTTTTTAAAGGTAGGAACAACCATGTGCAAGAACACAGAAACTGCTGGCTCTTGGTGAACCACACCCAGGGCCCAGGGACATGAGGGAGGTGGCTTCCTGCCCCAGGGGCTATGGCTTCCTGTCTTTTCGGAAATCCTGTTGTCATTTGGCCCAGAGGGACCTCTGGGATGCCCCTGGGAGGAGAAACTCAGCTATCAGGAAATGGCTCCTTTGCTCTGGGAATAGGAGTCAATTTTCTTTCCCCTTAAAGGTGGTCATATGGATTGTCCTTCACAAAGTTAATTTGGGAGGTTGAAGGGGTGGGGAAATGTAAGGCAGGGTTTTACAGTGAAGGATCCTGGATCAGATAAAGATAAAAGTGGTTTCAAATGTATAGAGAGGAAGGGAACCACTGCAGATGAGTGAGACCTACCTTTGTTCCCATGATTCAAGGTTGTCCTAATATACACAGGTCCTACCAGGGGGTTATAGATGTCTGATGTGCGATGCATGTGTCAGGGAAACCTTTCTTGCTTGCTCATTGCTTCCAGGAACAGAAATAGGAAACACACAGAACTTTGGAGGAATTGGGGGCTCAGAAAGGGCAGAAGGGAAGCAGGACCTGAGGAGCCTGACCCTGGAGGGCAGATTCCCAGGCAAGGTTGGTCCCCTCCTGCCCATTTGAGGCCTCTGTGAGCTATAAGGCCTTAGTTTAGGTAACATTTTCCTTCCTTCCTTCCTTCCTTCCTTCCTTCCTTCCTTCCTTCCTTC